TACATACATACATACATACATACATACATACATACATACATACATACATACATACATCAGTCATCCCTTGTGACAAAAGGTTTAAGGCCATGGAGCCCAAGACCCTCTTTAGAATTGATTTCGATGAGAACACAGAAGTCCTGAAAAGGAATTTTCACATTAGATGATCTCAGTTTTCCCCTCCATTGCCAGGATGACTGTGCGAACCATGCCATTGCAACATAAATTAGTGTTGTGGCTTGCCAGCCGATCTGGCAGCAGATTCGAACAGTGAGGAGGTTGGGGAGGAACACGGGCCAGTCCTGGAGTCTGAGGAAGGCTCTGATGAAGGCTCTGCATTGGAGGCAGAGATGGGGCTAGGGCCGGTCTGACAGTTATCAGCTGCCTTCGGAGTCGGACATCAGTGGGGCAGAAGAACATCTGGAGCCTGTTCCCAGTGTGCGCATGTGCAGAGCTGCCAGGAGAAGGGAACAGCTAAGGAACAAGGGTCGACCCGGGAGTAAAGCCACAGGTGGACGGTGAATGGCCCCTCCCATAGGGAATAAAGAGGAGCGAAAGGAGAGGGAAGTTTGCAGGAGACAATCAATTCATTAAGGTGAAGATCTCTTCCTGCCAAGTAGTGTCTGCTACAGAGTGGCGTTTGGAAGATATTGGCCTGGCAGCTCTCCAAGCCTGATAAAGGTCTGTAGTTGTGAAATCTCTTGAAAGACTGTTGGCTGGGACTTGGCTGGAGAGGAATTCCCTTCAACCTACAGTAAATAGAAGGGGTTTTATTGGGACAAAGAGTCGGCTTCCTGCTTTTGGGAAGTCTAAGTCAGACCAATCAGGACATTTATTTATTTAGTTATTAACAATTTATATGGCTTCCAATCTTGTTGTTGTGACTCAGTGGCAGAAAATACAGGAATTCCTCGACTCACGACTGTTCCTTTAACAGCTGTTGAGTTACAACTAAATTCTTGAAAATAATTCGCTAAGGTGTAACAAGGCTTGAGAGAATTATACAAAGAAAAAGTGTTGTGCTCCCCCACACTCCGGAAAGGTTAAAATAAACTAATAACCGGACTGATTCATCAAAATTATTTAGGATGAAAAACGCCTTTAACAGAGTAAAGCATTTAAAAGAACAGGGATTTTTCCGCAATTCTTTTTGCCTAATACAGCCAGCAAGAGGGTTAACAGTCAGAGCTGATGGATGTAAGCTTGAAAACCATCATCTGTCCCGTTGAAAGAACATTTTGAAAACAACAACAACCTAACAGCTGGAAAATCGTACAAGTATATAATACCATCATGACTATGGGAGATATTTATGTCTTTGCTGATTAGAATGTGGCATCGTTTATCCTTAACGTATTTAAACCCAATTTTGACTACAAATCTAAGCAATCAATTATGGACACTGATTTGCTGGCATTTAAATATTTCAAAATATCTGGGTCAAATAGGACCAAATAGTCTCCATTCCATCCTTCTCCACTATTTCCATAATTCTATAATTTGGGGAGAGGAAGTAGCTAATTTCATTAACATCCATTTCAAGCTTAAGATGCCTGCAAATCTTTTGAAAGAGACCATTTTGAATTCAAAACTTCAATGGGACATTGCGTGAAATTTCATTCTCCAAAAAGAAATATGGGTATGTCTTACAAAGCACTATTAAAATCTAAAACTTAACCGATCCCTAACCTTAAGAACTGAACTAAAACATCAGCATTAAAAAGGCCAGGAAAATAAACATTTTCATCCCCTCCTAAGCAGGGATAGGATTCACAAATTTTAGCAACTGGTTCTCTGCCTGGTTACTGGGTGGCTGCACCACGGCAGAGGTGGGGAGGAGCTTTTCACCACTCTCAGGAGTCTCCACATGGCCTGTTTTGGATGCCAAATAAGTCTGTGAGGGTAAAAACGGCCTCCCCCGCGCTCTGGAGGCCCTCTGGAGGCTGGAAATGGGTGCATTTCTGGACTTCTGGAAGACCCGTTTTTCACCCTCTCAGAGCCTCTGCACCGGCCCTGCACTTGCCTGGCATCCAAAACGGGCCACGAAGAGACTCCTAGGAGAAGTGGAGTGGGACGGGCGGGGCCAGCCAGTCCTTGCAACTACCCGTTTGGCAAACCAGATGTAAAATTAGCACTTGGTTCACCCAAATTGGTCCGAACCACCTCAATCCCACCCCTTCTCCTAAGTCATAATGGATGGTTTCACCTTGACGGACAATTTATTGCACAACAGAGTCTCCAACATATATAGGTTTGTTTCATTTCGCTTCCTTTCCCCCTCCCTGCCTATAACAATTTTCAGATATTTACTGCCCACAGGAATTCCTGCCTCCCATTTCCCGCAGGGTTATTCCTAAATTCAAAACAATGAAACGGTACAAACCAATTCTATCTGGTGTGTTGTCAATTTGGGAGGGGGAACTTGAAACACTGCTGCTCTGGTGTGAAGAGGCATGGCTCCCAGGTCTCTGGCCCTCTTCTACAGATGGAGCAGGCGAAGGGCTGTCTTGGATCCTTTCCTTTAAAGAAAGAAAGAAGATTGGTTCAAGCAATTAATTGTGTTTCTTTTGGGATTCCATTCGAAGGTGATCCAAATGAATCTCTATATTGACTTCCCAAATGAAACTGAAAAGTGGAACAGAATCAGACACCTTCATATCAGTTTTAATAATAATAACAACAACAACAATAATAATTGCTCAAGAACAAGCCTTAGCCACAAACTACATGAAGGCAAAAATTCAACATGTTACCACCAACAGCAAATGTCGCCTCTGTAATGAGAAAGACAAGACAGTTGACCACGTGATCAGCAAGTACAGCAAAATTTCACAAACCGACTACCTACAACGCCATGACAGCATTGCTAACATCATTCACTGGAAATTGTGCCAAAAGTTTGGATTTGAGTACAGCAAAAACCACTGGCTCCATCAGATTGAGAAGG